GGCAGCCATAGCTGAAGGTTGACGAAGGTTGGAGGGTTGACCAAGGGTTGATCGAGGGTTGACCGAGGGTTGACCGAGAGTTGATCAGAGGGTTGACCAAGGAGGTTGACCAGCGTTGACCGGGCCGTTGACCAAGCCGCAGTTGACCAAGATTTGACCAAGCTGGAGTTGGTGAGATCTCGCCAAGCCTTCAGCCTTTTCCCTACCCCGTGGATGTACACTTACCCTTTGGTACTTGCTGAGGTCAAGAGTCTGTCTGTCTCTCCTTTCTGCATTGAGTCTCTTTTGTCCTAGGTGATAGAATCTGTGGATGAAGGATAGGGCCTTGCTGCCAAACCCACACGAGCTTAGTAGGACTCCTACTCTGAGACTTGAGGACCTGGGCATGAGCGGCGAGCGCTCGTTAAACAACTCRTCTAGCCCAATGACCGGTACTGACCGGCAGGTTTCTCAATATCAGTTTAGTGGGTCTGAACTCTGAGCCGTGGGCTGAAACGAAGACCGTCGTTAAGTGTCGAGGCCCTGGTTGACCCACTCCCCCTCTACGACCTGGTAAGGCTGATGATCTGTGTCTGACGACTCGACTGTCCCGGGGGACACGAACCCTCCCAAGGACCGGTACAGACCGGCGGGCTGCTCGGTGTGGCACAGGTAGGCCGGAACGGCTAGTTGTGGGCTGAAATCGCCAGGAGGGTTGTGCTGACCGCGTCGTCCTGTCTGCGACGTTAAAGAATTCTTGTCGGCCCTAGGTCAGCACAGTCTGTAGTGACAGCCCTAGGTCTAGGCTAGAGACCGTAATCGTGTTAGTGTAAAGTCAGAGACTGATCTCTCCTGGAGGAAAGGCTCCTCCCCTTTGAGGGGAAGTGGTTAGGGTTGCCGGCCTACCTGGGGGCATAGGTACCCAGTGGGACCCTAATCCCGTGAGAGGGAAGTTTCGTGTTAGTTATTGGAGTCTACGTCAGTCAGTAAGTCAGTGTGTCCGGGTAGGTCTACGTGGTGAGGAGTGGGACCCCTGTCGTGCACCGACACCACGATGGATGATTATTCGATGTATGGGATACTTGTTGGGTTCTCCCTCTGGGGGACCCTCTGGCGTCTCCTCTTTCCTCTGGGCTTTTGGCCCACTTTCACGTGTAGAGTAGGGCCCACTCGAGGTGGGACTTCCACCACCCCCTACAAGAAGGAGGAGGAGGAGAAGATGGCCGCCCTTCTACAGAAGAAGAAGGAGAAGAAGGAGGCCAAGAAGAGGGCCTTGAAAGAGGAGCAGGCGGCCAAGCTGAAGAAGATAGAGGAAGAAATGGTCAGGGAGAAAGAGAGGTTGATGAAGGAAGAAGAAGAGAAGTTGAAAGAGGTGGAAGCGGAAGAGGAAGATCCGCCACTGCAAARGAGTAGTGGACAGCATGGCGGCAACCCTGGTGGAGACCTGGAGAAGAGGATATCAGAATGGGTTGCCAATTTGACTGTGGGAGAAGAGGAGGAAGTTAACATGTACATCCCACAAGATGAGCAAGAGGCAGCCATGAGGGCTTGGAATGCAGAGAAAGACCCTCTTAAACGACGGGCGTTGGAGGATGAGAAACGGATGGAGTGGAAGTTGGCAGTGATGAGAGAAAAAAAGAGGAGGATGGAGAAAGCAGCAGAGGCGGCAAAAGCTTTGGAGGAAGTGAAAACGATAAAACAACAATTAGCCGCCCAACCTGATTTCTCAAATCAGATGCGAATCGTGGCTCGAAGCATTGCATGCCTAGCACGAGTTCAGGCAGATCAATATGATTTCAGCAGAAGCCAGGATATCGCTGTGCGTTCGATGAAAATGGGCTTTCGAGACTTTGCTCGTGAGCTGGTAGGCACCGTTGGAGTCGAGGTGGGTCATCGCCTCGACAAGACTGAACGGTTCTGCACCGGCGCCATTGAAGGCGTCAAGGCGGCAGCTCCCAAGGAGGAGGAAGCACGTCCTCCCCGTCGGGAGCCAGTCAAAGTCAAGTTCCCCGATTCCTACAGCGGAAGGAGGGAAGAAAACTTTGACAATTGGGAGGCCAACGTTAAGACCTATGTGCACTTGCAACAGGTCTCCCTAGATCAGCAAGTTTTAATTGCTATCCACGCGCTGAGAGAAGAGGCCGCCAGTTTTGCAAGGTCCCTAGTTCGCGCTGCCAACTGTAGTGATGATCCCGTTGCGTACTCCTCATTTACATCCCTCACCGAATTTCTGAAGTTGCTACGCGAGCGATTTGCTGATGTCGCTCGMGGTGTCAGGGCCTCAGACAAACTCCAAGCCATCCATTCCCGTAAATGGAAGAGTGCTAGGGCACTCAAGGGTACAATGGATGAGTTGGTGGCCGTCCCTGACCATAAGGTCACAGAAGCCCAACTGGTCAACCTCTTTTACCGGGCTATGTCCGAAGCCTTTCGAGGGCAGTTCTTCGCGAAGAGCGAAGACCCTGCCACCACTTATGATTCCCTTAGTCGAGAGGTGGTGGCTTTTGAAGCAAAGTCAGTGTCCCTGTCTACTTTCTGGCACAAAGACTTGGACAGGGGTAAGCAATGGAAAGGCCGCACTATCTCAGGGCAGGTAAAGACTAAGGATAGCCTTGTCCTGACTTTAGATGAGGGTAGTGTGGAAGAGATTCCCTACGACCAGATCGAGTGGGGATTAGAGGAGGCGGACAGCGGTGTGGGCCAAGGGAGATCTTACGCTGCTGTCGCGGCCGGAGGGAGGCCGTAAGGAGGAAGAGGCCAGGGCCAAGGGGGCCGGGCCTCAGGGAGTCGATTTGAGGGCGATCAGGGGGTTGGCGGYAGAGGAGGAAACCGCCAAGCGGGAGGCAGGGGTCAAGGTTCCCCGCAAAACCGTCCTTGGAATAGGGCTCCCTATAGAATAGGAGGATGGCACCCAGGGCTACCTCAGGGTAGGCCTTGGGAATCTTTGGGTYTGGACCAGGCTTTATGGCAACAACGATTGGACCGGGGCCAGTGCATTTTCTGCGGTGACCCGGGCCATATCATCAAATATTGTCCTAAGTATAGAGAGACCCGAACGGCTGCCCCAGGGCCAAAAGGCAGCCGCCGGTAGGGGTAGCAACTGCCCCAACCACTAGGCCATGTGGGGAAAATAGCGCTAGCCGGCAGGAGACTCCTACACCACATGTGCCTATGGCAGAGGTTGCAGGCCGGTGTCTAGATAGCTGCCCAGAGACCGCTTGTGTTAGGATCTCTCTAGACACCTCCCTCACAGGCGTGGCCAAGGAATTGAAGGAGAGGATGCCCGCCTGGGCCAAGATGAAGAAGGAGAACAAAGGGCAGCTTATATTACTAGATACAGAGATTTTTAGAAGTAGAGTAGGGGCATTAGTAGACTCAGGGGTCACCCGCAGCTATATTAGTAGGAAGGCGCTCCAGAAGTTGAAGTTGGGACTTAAAGTCCAAAAACTAGCATACCTTATAGTTAGTATCCTCGCAGACAATCGTACCATGGTTGTAGAGGATTACGTTGAGGGAGTCCAGGCGTATTTTCGCCTAGAGAAGGATGAAAAAGTGGAAAAGGTCCTCCACTCCCTRACTCTCCTCGTAGAAGACAGCCTCCCATTCGACATTGTTCTGGGAATGGATTGGGGAGAGGCAGCCGGGGCCACGCTCTATTTGAAGGAGCACGAGTGTAGGCTCCCTAGTTTGTTAGGCGAGGCCAAGACTACCCGCCTGTTTCATGCGTCAGGGGTAGAGAATTCCTTGGCGCACCGCTGCCTTAGTGCCCCCGCGTTCGCCAGATTGGTGAAAAAGGAGAAACTAGAGGAACAGGTTTTTGTTGCCTATGTCAGGCCACTGACTGAGCCTAAGGAAGAGAAGCCCGTAGACCCTGCTATTGCCAAATTGYTGGAAGAGTTTAAGGATTTAAMTGAGCCGCCRACARGCACGGTGCGGCGGCCCATCCAGCACCGTATTGAGATAGAGCCTGGCAGTAGAACTCCTAAGGGTGCTGTATATAGGATGTCCCCGCGGGAGTTGGAAGAGCTACGAAAGCAATTGGACGAGCTTCTCGAAAAGGGTTGGATTAGGCCCAGTTCGTCTCCTTTTGGAGCCCCTGTTCTCTTTGTCCCTAAGAAAGAGGGAGAGCTGAGGATGTGTATAGACTATAGGGGACTGAATGCTATTACAGTAAAGAATGCTGAGCCACTGCCTAGGATAGACGATCTCTTAGATCGAGTGCAGGGGGCGAAGTATTTTTCTAAGATAGATTTGAAGTCCGGATATCATCAAATAGAGGTACATCCTGATGATCAGTATAAGACAGCCTTCCGGACTAGATATAAGCACTATGAGTTCATAGTTATGCCCTTTGGACTAACCAATGCGCCAGCTACGTTCCAGCGCTGTATGAACGATTTGTTCACGCCGTGGTTAGATAGATTTGTTATAGTGTACCTAGATGACATTCTAGTGTTTAGTAAGACCCTCGACGAGCATCAAGGTCATCTCAGGCAAGTCTTGGAAAAGCTGAGGGAAGCTAATTTCAAGATCAATGCAAAGAAGTGCGATTGGGCAAAGACCCAAGTTTTGTATTTAGGCCACGTCTTAGACGGAGATGGCGTTAAGCCAGAGGATAGCAAGATCGCAGCGATTAGAGATTGGCCC